AATGCATTTGTACGCTTTTCTCTTTTGCAATTTCTGTTTTCCTGATAGACTTCTACCACCACATGTTCTACAAAGTTCATGAATATACAGAACATGGGACGCTTCATCATGGCACTCAATTATGAATATTAATGTTCCAATACTCCACAGCAAAAAAGCAAAAGAAATCCAAACAAGGCGAACGAGGATGGGGTACTTTCACACTCCAAGGTCTACACAAAATCGATCACTATGAATCACACAGAATACGTACAATGTTCTCACTTCCTCATGTAACTCAGTACTATTTTCTCAAGAGTAATCAAGGAGAAAAAATTTAATTGTGGGCTCAATTATTGAGAAAAATGACTTTAAATAAAAATAAATAGATGCAAGTTGCTTTAAAAGTAATAAAGGATAGAGTGCATTTCTCAGCAAGCAGGATTAACACTAGTGAACACACACAAGAGAAAATTATATCGTCTTGTCGGGTTGAAGTAGCCCTTTAAAATGAGACCCCACGTGGAGACATCGCATCTTTAGATCGGGAGATATTGGGGATCAAATTAATCGAAAGTGACTGGAATCAAGTTTCCTGGACACGGCCGAGGCACGCCGGGAGTGCCGCTGCTGTCACGGTACCTTGCACGGCTGACAGCTGATTTATTACCGTCTCGGGGTGGTCGGCGGGAAACCCTTGCCCGGTAACTAAACTGGCGGTTTTGGGGCGATTTAGACAGCCGTGCACTGCTTTTTTATATTACCACGCATTCTGATGGATGTAGATTCAAACTGGGGCATTCTCTACCGCAAAATTTTGGCCAATTGTTGCTGAATTCATGAAATGGAAAAATATGTACAAAAAGCCCTGCTTGTTTGGGCTCATACTCTCATTTGAATGTCTTTTGCTCTTTGTTTAGTGGACCGAAGTGTAGGAGATATCATCAGGGAGATGGATGCGATAGATCGCCGAGGCAGAGAAATTGAGACAACGGAAGACAATGTCCAACTACGCTCTAACTACAAAAGCCCAAGAAGTCCTAGGTCTCCTGGTATGTATTCTTGATAGATTCATTCCAAGTTTTAGAATGTTTTAAAAAATACTTTAAAAGGATTAACTTTGAAAAAAAATAACGGGTTATATTGCAGTGAGAGTGTGCAAGTAAAAAAATTAAAGAGACTGTAAATGAGTTAAACAATTTTTATTGTTGTTTCGATTGTTTTGATTTGGAGAAACGAGTTGAACAAGGGGGAGTGTGTTGAGCTCAGTGAGCGGAATATTTAAAAAAAATTTCAAAGTGTAAACATAAACAAAGCCTTTGGTCAGATGGAGTGAAAGGGAGAGTGTTAAAAATTTGTTGTGAGCAACTGGCCCCGATATTTACCTTCATTTTAACCTGACCCTACTAAAAAAAACTCCATTCCTACAATATGGAAAACATCGGACGTAATACCAATACCAACAAAGCCTAAAATATATGAATTTAATTATTTAAGATTAGTCGCTCTTTCATCCATTGCTTTTAAGTGTCTTGAAAAATTGATCCTCTCAAATATAGGTTATGTTCATTGAAATGTTAATCCATTTCAGTTTACATACAAACAAGAGAGGAACGTAAAAGATGCTGTACTTGTTTTTGTGACTCTATACTGAAACACCTTGAAACATCTTAAACGTATATGAGGGTACTTTTTAAGTCTGAGAGTTAGTCATTATATCGCTGTATGGGTCCTGGAATTTTTTACAGGCAGACCACAATATGTAAAGTTGAACAACACAAAATCTGACCCGAATCCTTTGTAACACCGGCTGTCCTCATGGGGTGTGTTTTGTCGCCAGTTTTGTATTCAATATATACCAATGATCATAGAAGTAAATATAAAACAACTTGCTTAATTAAATTCGCTGATGACTCCACTATTACTGGATTAATAAACCTCGATGAAAAAGAGTATTTCGAAGAAATATGTATGCTTTTTTAATGTTGCAATTCAAAATTCCTGAAAGTGAACCTCTCAAAAAGAAGGGAAATGATTTTTTATTTTAGAAGAGAAAAACCAACAACCCTACCACTGGTAATTGAACAAAAAACAATTGAAATCACTGATTCATACAAATATCTTGGTCTTACAATTGACAACAAATTTTCATGGCAAAATCATGTAAACAGTATCGTTAAAAAGGTAAATTGGAGGCTGTACTTCCTAAGGAAACTTAGGTTCTTCAATGAGAATCCATCCATCCTTCAGATATCTTCGGTCGCCTGATGAAATCGTGAATTCCACACGAAGCAAATTTTACAGGAGAGGGCAAAAACTGATTTCCTCCGTCATTTGGGGTTCAAGACATAAACTCAATGGATAAATTTAGTCACACCCCCAGTGGGTCGGGGGGATATAAATAGACCCACTGCTTCGTCTGCAGAAGGTGCAACCCCTTCGAAGGCGAGGTGTCGCACACGGATCCCAACCCTCTAGGATCCGGTTGCGACACCTACTTTAGTGTATCTTCCTCTTCTCCTTCCTTCTTTCTTTCTTCTTCTATCTTTTTTCCCACCGCTGACCTCATGTGCAGCAAAAAGAGAGGTCACCTATCCCACAGAGTGGGCGCCTTGTTAACCGTGAGGTGCGACCCGTGCGGAGGGAAACCGGGTACCGGGCGGTTGAGGTGAGATCAGTCCACGGACTGTCCCTCACCAACACACCTCTTTGGCCCAGGTTTTCCTCTTAGACAGGAAGGTGGCACGGCCCATGCCACTCAATCGGTTATGAGTTGAAACCCCTTCAAGGCCTGGGTCAATCTTGACAGGAGGGTTTTATGCACTCTCGTGGAGAGTATAGCTCCGGGGTAGCCCTGGCACAGTTATGGTCATCCGAGCAATGTGTCCCCTTGTTGGGCTCGATGGCAGGCGGGGAGCCCCGGAGTCGAATCACCTAAAAAACTCTCATGGATTCCTCATCTGCTAAAAACCCTTCCCCAACTCCCAACGTTGCCAAAGAGTCTCGGTTCGCGGAAGCAGGTGCGGCTGCCAAGCCGAGCAAACAAACGCCAAAAGGGAAAAGGACCTTTACGACTGCCTCTGCCCTCCCCCCTCTCAGGGAGCTTCTGCGGCAGCCGTACTTGACCATCCGCAGCACCGATGTACAGAAAAAGATCACTGATCTAAACATATTCAAGACAGGAGATGCTCTAAGACAAGTTTTGGAATACGTTCCTACGAATGTCCAGAAACTGTCCTCTGGTGCTCTCCTCATCAAGTGCACATCGGATAAAGAACTGGCCGGACTTGAAAAGATTGCAACCTTCGGTGGTGTTCCTTGTGTTTCCGAGCGACACCAGAAGTTTAACCAGTTGAAGGGCGTGGTCCGCAGCCATGAGCTGAAGGGCTGCTCAAACCAAGAAATTGTGGATAGCTGTAAGGGTGTGGTCGAAGCCCGCCGAAGCTCGGCGGGGGGAGTCCACACTAGAAACGAACACAATAATTCTAACTTTTGATTCGTGCCGCCCTCCAGCCACCATTCGGGCATCATATTTGATCTTGGACATGCGACCCTATGTGCCAAACCCTCTACACTGCTTTCAGTGTCAGAAGTTTGGCCATAGTCAGTCGCAATGCCGACGTGCAGCCGTGTGTCCTCGCTGCGGCAAGACTGGGCATCCTGAAAAGGAATGCAAGGCTAATCCTTGCTGCCCTATTTGCCAAGGTCAGCTCACAGCCTTCAGCTAGGATTGCCCGACTTGGATCCAAGAACGCGCAATCCAAGAGTATAAAGCACGAAATGGCTACTCTTTTCAAGAAGCCCGTAAAGCTGTATGCCCGCCAGGTATGACCCCGGTCCCTGGCCAGTCATATGCAAACGTACTCCGGCCAGTCACGAAGTTGGCCAGTGCTTCCACTGTCAACCCCCCAGAACCCGCGGTCAACAAGCGACTTACTGCACAGAAACACAAAAAGGTTCCTACTACAACTGTGGTACCCACCTTTCAGGTATCACTAACTAACCGCTTTGGGGTTCTTGGGGAGGATGGGGTGGACTCTTTCTCCGCTCACCCTTCTCCCCCTC